AAACACGCAAATGTGAAACTTTGGGTTGATGACCAAATCGAAGTTCATAAGAAGTTTTTCCAAGTTTAGATCGCAAGAAAACTCGATTTGAAATATAACAAGCAATGTTAATAGCCTCAGCCCAAAATTTTCTAGGAGTTTTGTATTCATCCAACATTGTTCTAGCCATCTCAACCAAAACACGATTTTTCCTTTCAACAACACCGTTTTGTTGAGGAACACAAGGAGAAGAAAATTCATGTTCAAGACCTCTTTCGTTGCAAAATTGTTCAAATGAAGCATTTTTAAACTCTCCACCATTATCACTTCGAATTCTTCTCAAACCAGGAAATTCAAGCTCCAATCGAAGAAACAAACCACGAAAGTGTTGAAAAGCTTCATCCTTAGTTGCCATAAAGAAACCCAAGAATATCGAGAAAAATCGTCAACTATAACCAACACATACCACTTTCCTCCAACAGATTGCACTCTAGCTGGACCAACAGTGTCCATATGTAATAGCTGTCCCGGTGCATCCGTCATCACAGAAACAATAGGAGCATGTGAAGTAGAAACCATCTTAGCATGACGACACGGTGTACAAACCAAATCAAGATTTTTCTTAAGTTTAGGCAAACCACGAACAAGATCCAAACCACTTAACCTAGTGAGATGATCAAAACCAACATGTCCAAGTCTACGATGCCAAAACATCACATCTTTATCAAACTTAGCAACCAAACATGTTATCACAGGTGAAACAGAATTTTCAAAATCAGCTTTAAACACTCTTCCATAGCGAGAAATATTCAGCACAGAATCACCACGAGAATCAAAAACTTTACTTCCAGTTTTCTTAAAGTGAACTTCAAACTCTTCATCAACAATTTGTGAAACCGAAAGCAAAGTGTACTTTAAATCCTCAACCAAAGCTAGATTCTTCGATTCAAATTTATCATTTACCTTAACCATACCTGTAGCGACAACGACACTAGTAGAAGCATCAGCAAAGACAATTGATTCAGTCTTGGATGCCTTTTTGAGGGAGGAGAACCAATCTTTATCACCGGTCATGTGCCACGAACAACCGGAATCCACAATCCACACGTTCTCCTTCCTTGCCACCAAAGCCTACACACAAGTAGACGTCGAAGCCTCAGTACTGGGGTTAGATGATAATAAAAATTTAGGAATCCAGTACTGAGACACACGACCAGAAGATCCAATAGGCATATATCCACGTGCAAAATCAATTTTAGAATTTTCAAAAAAATTCCTCCGAGGCCGGTCTGACCGAGGTACAGTGGCCGGTCTGACCGGGGGCCGGTCTGACCGCCTCTGTACCGCCGGTCTGACCGGTGCCCGGTCTGATCGAGGCTGTTCAGCCGGTCTGACCGGTCGCCAGTCTGACCGCGGGACCCACTGCGGTCTGACCGGTTTCTTCGAGGGAAAACCAGATTTTTGCCACTTTGATTTTGCAAAAGCAATCTCTCTCTCCTTTTTCTGTTTATGAGCTAATCTGAAACAAAAATCAACAATATGTCCATCTTTTCCACAAAAAGAACAAGTATATTTTTCACGTTGTTTAGACACATTGTTAGAGCTAGAAGATTTAGCAACACAAGCAGAAACAGGAGGTTTTGCATGCACAACATTGGATTTTGAAGAAGATGCACTCATAGTAGACATGATACCAGCAGATTTAAACACAGTTTTATTTGTATCAGGTTTAATCAAAATCTCACCACTTCTAGCACCAACACCTAACACAACAGGAGGATGTCTAGAGTTATGAGCATAAGGATCAAAACCTAAACCACAGTTATTTGTGCTAACCTTTGATTGATCCTAAATCATGTTGAGGTTCTTTTTACCATCAGAAAATCTTAGCAAAGAATTTTTCAAATAAGAAACCTCTTTTTCCAAATTAACACAATTTTCACAATCTACCATTACACCTTTGCTTTTCCGACATTTGGGGCAAGAAAGCACTTCATTGTTTTTCACAACATCTTCCATGTACTCAACATGACCTAAAGCATCTTTTAGTTTCATGTTATTCAAATTACATGTTGAGCAATCCAAAACATCATGATGTTGTTTTAACTTTTTAGCAGAAATCATGTTAAACATCAAACTAGCATAAAAAGCAATTTGATATTTTTGCAACAACTTTTTAGTTAAAAACAACTCATCCAAAGTGCGTGTGTGCAGAGCAAAACTACAAGCAAGAGAAGGTCTATTTTTCAAATCATGTGCAGCATTAACATCTCTAATTTTTGAAATCTCATTCATTAAAACCTCACAATTTTCACAATCATCATCATTAGGAATAAGAGATTTTAATCTATCAATTTCAGATTTAAGAGATTTAATGATAAACTCCTGTTTTTTATACATCTTCTCACACTTTTTATTTTTTGCACTCAAAATATTAATAGCTTCCTCAAAAGCACTCACCTCATTGTCTTCATACTCTGTGTCAGATTCACCACGCGCCATGAAGCAAACATCGGAGACGTTCTTTCCCTTGTCATCATCTCCACTTTCACCATCTACATCACTTAGTGGCTCGAAAGCGGCGCAAACTTGTTGAAAAGCCTTCCTAAGATTCTCCATCTTCCTCCCTTGGTTAGAACCCTTCGACTTGTAGTTGTTGGGCTTGTTGTTGTTGGTCTTCTCACCATCTTTGCCTTCTCTTTTGCCTCTCCCAAGCTTAGGACAATGCGAACGAAGATGATCAATTGAACCACATTCAAAGCAACGATTTGGACCACCTCTTTTCCTGTTCCTGGCATTATTCATAGCTCAAGCAATTCGGTTAGCAACCAAAGCCAAATCCTCCTCCTCGATTTGTTCGAGTTGATCATCGGATGTGGCATTAAAAGCAGCAAGAAAAGAAGGCATAGATGAAGAAGCATCAACAACCAAAGAGGAAGAAGAAGAAACCAAAGCACTCGATTTAGAATCAACTTTGCGAGAAAGAATATTCATCTCATGTGTTTTCAATTTAGTATAAAGTGAATCCAAAGTCAAAGTAGACATGTTAACAGACTCCTGAATAGATGTAACTTTCATCTCCCAAATAGACATGTCGAGACCATTCAAAAAGTGACAAGAAATCTCAGATTGTGGATAATTAACATCATAAGAAGAATCAACAGATCTAAGATCACTCAAAATTTTATTAAACCTAGAAAGATAGTCATCTAAAGCTTCTCCATGTTTCATCTCAAACTTAATGTACTCCTTTTTAAAAAGATCTCGACGAAGCTCTTTAATGTTATTTGTTCCTTGATGAAAATTCTTCAAAGCATTCCAAATCTCATGAGCAGTTTCAAGATGTGCAACACGATCATAATGAGAACGAGAAATCCCACTCAAAAAAATGTTGCGAGCTTTGCAATTTTGTTCAAAAGCAGTTTTTTCAGCAGCAGTATTAATAACTTCAGGAATCACATAAGCATGAGAAACTTTTCTCCAAATATCATAATCTTTAGCCATAATGTAAGACTGCATCCTACTACACCAATGAGTAAAATCCGTTCCATCGAAAACATGAGGCTTAGTTGAAAACCTAGCGGGAGTAGCCATGACAAAAACTTTAGATCGATAAAAATCCAAAGAAGAAAACAAGGCTCTGATACCAATTGTAGGATCGTAAAGGGCCTTTCCCACCCCAAAAGCTAGCCATTGAGGTGAGGGGCTCCCCCACTTATATCTTAGGTCCTTTACCCTTCCACAACCAATGTTGGACTATTCAACAATCTCCCCCTTCACACATTGGTGTCCCTCAGCCCTTCACCGCCCCTTCACCGTATCCGGGCCCCACCGGCCCATGGTCCATCAGGTATACGGGCCCCGCAGACACCCACGGTCCATCAAGCCTTCACACGTGTCCATCGGGCCAGAGATGTTAACCTAGCCAGGCTCTGATACCAATTGTAGGATCGAATCACAAGAACTAAGCCAACCAGAGGGGGGGTGAATGGTTGGTATACCCAAAAACCGAAAACTTTTAGCGGAAATAAAAGTTACCCTCGAAATCGATGGATCGCAGTCTGACCGAAGTAGTTGAGCCGGTCTGACTGCCTGATGAACGTCGGTCTGACCGATGTAGATCGATCGGTCGAACCACCGAAAACACCTACCGCCGACTCCTGTCGCCGCCGGTCTGACCGCCGTGTGCCCGCCGGTCGGACCGCCGCGATGCCGCCGGTCTGACCGCCGGTGTGCCGCCGGTTAGACCACCGAAACCCGGTAAACACAAATCGAAGAACTCTTAAAGTGGATGACGACTTTATTGATTCTCTCTGTGTTTACAAAGTGCACCAACAGCACTCCTTACAAAAATTTTGACTAAACTCGAAACCCTAACTCAAAACTCAACTCTATTGCTCTCTAAAGTGATACAGGGAAGCCTCACGCTCCCCCTCTATTTATACATGAGGTAGGCAGCCTAAAGCCACGAACCAAACTCATACTAGGAGTTCTAAACACCTTAGGAAACCCACTAGTACAAGAAAGAAACTTTACATAACCAATCGTACCAAATTTGGACTCCTTCCAAATTAGACTCCGCATCCCATACGCACACAATAACTCCATCGTATGCCATATGGAAACTCCATCAACCACGTGCATCAACTCTAGCCTAAGTATCCCGCATGATCTCTGACCACCACGGACGTCGTCTTATCCCCGAGCCGACTCCCGGTCCATCACCGCAAATACTCTCCCGAGACATCGAGTCACCTACACATGGAACAAACAAAGAAACCATATTCCGAGATCAAGCTATCTCCAACTTGACTCATTAGCAGCAAATAATAGTATTACATACGTATAGTATCCATCTAGAAGTCATAATCATGGAATAAACTCGGATATCCAAATAAACAACCCGAAACCGAAACCAACACAGTGTCGGCCGGTCAGACCGCGGGTCGCGCCGGTCTGACCGCGCGATACACGCCGGTCTGACCGGCTACCAGAGCCCGGTCTGACCGGTCCACATAAAATGATAAATCCTGCAGATTCACCTGTGAAAACCAATTATCTCCAAAACCACTTCGTGATTAATTCCAAATACAAAACCAATAATGTCCAATGCCCAATTGTTCATCACAGAATAATAATCAAAAACACCTTTGATTTTACAGCACGCTTAATTCAACACTTCCCGGCTTCCTGTAATGTTTGTATAGCCACCAAAGCAAGGGCTGTGTTTAGATCCAAACTTTAGTCCTTTTCTATCACATCAACCTGTCATACACACACAATTTTTCAGTCAGATCATTTCCAATTTCAACCAAAATCTAAACTTTGCGCTGAACTAAACACATCCAAGAATTCTCCAACGGGGAAAATTTCTGGGATTAATCAAGTTCAGAAACGGGGCAGCCAGGTATGGAGATTGTCAAGAAACAAGCACGGATGGACGATCGCTGCCTGTTTTTGGTTTCTTTTCACTATTCATGTCCTCAGTCCTCGAGCAGGTGCACCATTGTCCCCAGGGCCATGGCAATGTGCCAAATTGCCAATGCTTGTCATGAATATGACAACGCTAGCTAGCTCAGCGGACCACGGCTAGAAGCACAGTGGCAACATCGCCACCAGTGTCGTGGTCGTTCGCCGCCCACAGTTGGCAATACCACTGCATTTTAGTAGCCTTTCATGCATGTTCTGCCTAATTCGTGATCGAAGAATCATGTACTATATAATAACGTATAGATTATATATTTATATGTAGGGGTAGGGAAAATAAACAGTTTAATCCAAGAAAACTATAATAGCACGTACTAGTAGAAATTATGTTATCTTCCTATTGTTTGACATAAAATGTACTATCTCTGTTTTACAATTACTTCTTGTTCTAATTTTATTCTAAGTCAAATATTTTTATTTTCAATCATCATTTTTTTATATATTATGAAAATATTTCTCATTATACGTTAATAACATAAATCTTACAATATTAAACTATAAATTAATGTTTGACTTAGGATGAAAGACACAGTACTCTAAAATGGACCAGTAGCGTGAATGTCTCGGTCAGAATAAATATGTGAACCCTGTAAAATTTTCACGTAAAAGTAATATACCATGTATGCATATGTAGTAGTAATATATACTGAAATTTTTTTTAACATTTTTGATAGATAAAGTTATGCACCATAATGTCTTTGATTTTTTTTTTCAAATTGTTTGAGTACGATTGAATTATAGAAAAATATAGCAACACCTAAAACACTAAATTAATTTATGAATTTGACATTGGATATATTTTGATAATATATTAGTTTTGTGCTAGAAATGATGCTATATTTTTCTATAAACTTGATGAAACTTAAAATTTCTAACTAGAAAAAATAATCAAAACGATGTATAGTATGAAACGAAGGTAGCAGTATATTTTCATACCCGTACATGAGTACAACAGCTATTTAAATGGGAGAAAATCTTCCCTTTTCAATCAATCATAAAAAAGATCACCAAAATCCCTCCCCCAAAGAAAACACACACAGTACAATCCAAATCACAATCGACGTCCTAATCGCACGCGCTTTTAATCTCGATTAAACTACTGAACGTAAATAGCACAACTATCCATTCCCTCCCCCAGCCAAAGCTATAGCATAGAGCGACCTTTCGATCGTTCCCTATAAATCACCACCCCTCCTCGTCGCCTCCCTTTCGCTGCTTACATGCAAAAAAACTCCCATAAACCCCTCCTCTTCGAGAAAATCCCTTTTTGTTCAACCACGACGCGAATTCCCAAGCAACCCCCCCACACCCAGCTGAGTAGCTGACGCAGCACCAGCAGTCGCGGGGAAAGGGACACGTCTCGCCGCCCCAGCTTCCCGCCTCCCTCCCATCCCGCCGCCGCGGACGCGTCCAAGCCACAGCAACAGCAACCACTCCGACGAACACCTCGCCTGCGCGATGGTGGCGGCGGCGCTGGACGCGATGGCGGGGACGAGGTGGGGGAGGTGGCTGGGGCTCGTGACGGCGGTGTGGGTGCAGTGCATCTCCGGCAACAACTACACCTTCTCCAACTACTCCCACTCCATCAAGACGCTCATGGGCCTCACCCAGCTGCAGCTCAACGGCCTCTCCGTCGCCAAGGACGTCGGCAAGGCGTTCGGCCTCCTCGCCGGCCTCGCCTCCGACCGCGTCCCCACCTGGCTTCTCCTCGCCGTCGGCTCCCTCGAGGGCCTCCTCGGCTACGGCGCGCAGTGGCTCGTCGTGTCCCGGGCCGTCGCGCCGCTGCCCTACTGGCAGATGTGCGTCTTCCTCTGCCTCGGCGGGAACAGCACGACGTGGATGAACACCGCCGTGCTCGTCACCTGCATCCGCAACTTCCGCCGGAGCAGGGGGCCGGTGTCCGGGTTGCTCAAGGGCTATGTGGGGCTCAGCACGGCGATCTTCACCGACGTCTGCTCCGCGCTCTTCGCCGACGACCCGGCCTCGTTCCTCGTCATGCTCGCCGTCGTGCCGGCCGCGGTGTGCGCGGTCGCCATGGTGTTCCTCCGCGAGGGGGAGGTTGGCGGCGGCGGCGCGGACGGGCGGGAGGAGGAGGAGGAGGATGGGTGGTGCTTCGCCGCAATCAACACGCTCGCCGTCGCCATCGCGCTGTACCTCCTCGCCGCCGACCTCACCGGCGTCGGGGGAGGCGGCGGGGTCGTGTCGGCCGTCTTCGTGGCCGTCCTCCTTGTGCTCCTCGCGTCCCCCGCCGCGGTGCCGGCGCACGTGGCGTGGAAGTCCTGGATGAAGACGCGGAAGCTCGCGAACGCCGACGTCGAGGAGGCGGAGGAGTGCGCGTCCGCCCCGCTCCTCGTGGCGAAGGCGACGGCGGCGGCGGCGGCGGAGGCGCGCGGCCCCGGCGAGAAGCCGGTGCTCGGGGAGGAGCACACGATCGCGCAGGCGCTCATGTCGCTGGACTTCTGGCTCATGTTCGCGTCGTTCCTGATGGGCGTCGGCACGGGGCTCGCCGTGATGAACAACCTGGGGCAGATGGGCGTCGCCATGGGCTACTCCGACGTCTCCCTCTTCGTCTCCATGACCAGCATCTGGGGATTCTTCGGCCGCATCGCCTCCGGGACCATCTCCGAGCACTTCATCAAGTTCGTCTCCTTCTCCCATCCCTTTCCCCTTCCATCTCCGTACACAAAATTGAACCGCAAAATCCCCAGCGCTTATTATTCCAAAAAAAAAAATCCCCAGCGCTTACTGTCGCCATAGATCCGTAGCTCCGTAGCACGGATTAGGTGTGGCATTTTCTTTCGCTAGAGTTGGAATCTTGGAGCCCACTAGCCCGCCATTGGTGATGGATGGGTGCTGCAACCATGTCGGCATCCGTAGTGGTGGTGCCCAGGTTGGAGCAAGGCGAGCATTTCCAAGACAGAGTCAAGATGGTCAATAGAATTTCAGATATTGCAACTTGCCCACTTTAATTGTAGTACTATAGTATGATCATTATACTAAGCTGTAGGATTCCCAGATTCCCTCGGATACATCTGCCTAGGAATAGGATGGATCAAGTTGACAGACTGAGAGAACGAGAGAGCTTAGTTGGGATTGGGGAAAATGGAGGTTTTGGTTCTAGTTGGGAATGGGGGAACTGAAGGGTTTGGTTCTTGATTCCTTTGGAAGGATGGCTTACACTAATCTGCAATATAATTAGCAATTGTAGAGACAAATAATCATCTTTAGGTATCTGCACCTGCTGGTTAGAATGGTGATAAGATAGCAGTAGCACAAGTTGTGTTTAAGCTGTACCCCGTAGTACTTATCTGCAGGTACTATCCATGGAGAATTGGTAGTCCTATGCTTTCAGTGGTCACTACCTAAGTACCTAACTGCAGTCCATACTATATGGTTACTCAATTCACATGTATAGAGTACATGTTACCTTTCTGTGTTAGTGGTCATGTGTGCATAGCACATCATGTACAGCTGGTGTTTCCATTAAGAACTGTTATCGGATTATCAACATTGGCTTCCTTTTCTTTTTTGGATCAACCTATTCTGGAAGAGCAATTCGACATATTATTAGTCTGACCAAATTTATGTAAAACTAGGGAGTCAATGTCTACAACTTAATGTGTCCACTTCGTAGTCTTAATCCAATGTTCATTTCATTTCTGTATGCGTTTCCCTTTCCTCAAATATTTTGCTGAGCTTCTGAACGTGACAAAATTTCAGGACAAGAGCAATTCCACGCCCCTTGTGGAATGCAGCTTCGCAAATCCTGATGGCCGTGGGCTATGTTGTGATGGCAGTTGGTATGCCAGGCTCCCTCTTCGTCGGCTCCGTTGTGGTTGGCATCTGCTACGGTGTCCGCCTGGCGGTCACCGTGCCAACAGCATCTGAACTGTTCGGTCTCAAGTACTACGGCCTCATCTACAACATCCTCATTCTCAACTTACCACTCGGCTCCTTCCTCTTCTCTGGCCTTCTTGCTGGCCTCCTCTACGACGCGCAGGCCACCAAGGTACCCGGTGGTGGCAACACCTGTGTTGGTGCGCACTGCTACCGCCTCGTGTTCGTGGTCATGGCGATTGCCTGCGTCGTCGGGTTCGGTTTGGATGTCTTGCTGTGCTTCAGGACCAAGAGGGTGTATGCCAAGATCCATGAGAGCAAGAGGCAGAGCAGGTCGGCAGTTGTGCAGAGGGTAAGCTAGCCAAAACCTACAGCTATGAGAAAAATGGTACAGATTCGCGCAATTGCATCAAGATTCAATGATTCAACGAGTGCAGGTTCTGTAAATTTTGTGCAAATAAGAGGATCCCATGTCTTGATTCTTTGGAATTAGATGGATGGATCCATTCAATCGGTATAGTTTAACTGCCACGGAGGTTTCTAGGGGCTGATTCGAGCAATGTTTGCCCTGTGTGTGTAATTCAGTACTAGTACTGACTACTACTGACTGAGAGGCTGCAGATTGTGGAGTTGTCTGATCCCTCGGTGTAATCAGTTTAGTCAGTGTATCCTTGAGGAAATGTATTCTCGGTTTTAGCCTGTACGATGAATTGTTGTGCAATTAGCCTGTTGGCATATAAATTCAGATCAATTCAAGCCATTCTTTTTGGAACATTGTTAAGTACTCTATTTATTTTGAGCATGAATGGATGTACTCAGTTACTCAGAGTCTGAAACTAGAAACCAATCAACCATCGAGGAATTGGAATATTGGATGAAAGAAAACTAATCTACTGGGTTATATCTCCAAAGTTAGAAATGGCGAACCTGCCGGCCGCCGTCGCCGTCGCCGACTCCACCCAAGCGAGATCGTCGCTGTGCCGCCGCTGGCGAGGAACCAATCGGTGCTGGTGCGGGTGACGGCGACGCACCCAATCTCGGATGCTTGCGCAGAGGAGGATCTGGAGCACTTGGCTGGGGATCGCCGCCAGCAAAGGGAAGGGGAAAAACTGCCTGGAGCCTGCTGGACCGTAGGCTTCAATCTGGGCCGTCCAATGCAGCGGATGTGGGGAGCACGAATCTTGGAATACTTATGGAAAGAGCCCCATGTACTTGGGAACAAAATGTGTTGAAAGTTGAAACTATAATTATCTGTAGTTCGTAAAAGAATCATTCTTTGGTCTATGGATTTGCTTTTTTGTGATTCACTTGAGTTAGGATACACCAAGCTTCAAGAAGATAATTAATTTTATTCTTTTGATTACCACCTTTATGGACTGATCCGTGTTTGCTTGTTTGTTTCGTGTGTTGTTGTTCAGTAACTAAATTCTTGCAGCTCGCGTGCCCATTTCTAAGGAAAGGAAAATCCTTCAACCTGGGCCTAAGAATTGCTAATTCTGCTCCTAGCCAATAATCACCTGGTTATGCAAGAAACAGCTCGATATTGTAGTAATTTATCAGACGGTTCTTAATGAAACCATAGTACTTCAAGCGATTCAGGTGTACTTGATGCTTGAGAACCTGTTCCCCATCTTGATGTTATGAGGCTTTGAGCTGCATTTGCATACAGAAGTAGGAAACAGAAAAGCTCATTTCCAAGTCAGTACCCCATAGTAGCAAAACTCATCTGGTTGTCAGATTACTAAATTCCACCATTTTACTGGATTTATCTAGCCATTGTTCTTCAGTTCAACAAGCAATCAAGCATGTCTGAATTTCATTGCAAAAGCAAAAATATCTTGTTTCTCCATCTGGATATTAACTTGATCGGTCTTTTGTCAACATTTGTGTAGAGCTGATTTTCTAATATGATTAGTACCAGTGGATGCTGACAGATGAAGGGCACAGTTCTGAAGGTAGTCACCATACCTTAATGGCTTAATATCACGTCCCCGTCGAAATCTTTCAGATCTGTTTGGGCCTGTTTGGTTGCTCGCCTCAAATCCTGACAATGTATACACATGTTCTAAATATCTATCCAGCCTCACTTTTTCTTTCCTTCATTCCAAGATTTTACATCTGGCATTTGTGGCCGTAAATGCACATGTTGAAACGGAGCACACCGTTGAAATTTCCTTCCAGATGCTTTCAGCAGATTTATTGACCTGGCGGCAAGGATATGTCAGTTGTTGAACAGTCTATAGAATATTTCAGAGAATCCGATTATTAACAGACGAAGGAAGTATAATTCTGATTATATTCGAACGGCATTTTTGGGGAAAAGAAAAAGAAAAGTAAGATTTGCAGAAAGGGTTTTATTGTCACTGCTAGGGAAGACTTGTTTTCATTTCATCAAAGCAGATATTTTTGTCACATTCTTGACTAATACACGTATAGCTATATTTCAAGCCAAAAGCCATCTACGGTAACACTAGCTTAAACTATCATATTCCTACTGACTTACCTGAATTATTTTGGTAGCATCAGTTTACACAAGAGATCAATAGGTCCACGAAAGCCAGCAGGTGCAGAGGATAAGTAAAATCCTGCTGCCTAAAAAGAAAGAAAAATGCACAGCTTCCACCATTTAGCATATGCAGATTCAGCGAAAGCATTTTGAACCTACAGGTCCTGTAAATTCAGAACTAATGTATGATTCATGTCTTGATTCTCTGAAGAAGATGATGGATTTACTCAAACGGAATAGTTCAGAACGACATCGCGTCAATTCAGTTCATGAAGTAAAGGTGCATAGTTTTCAAGGAGGCCCTCGTACTATTCGTATTATCATTTACATTCACAAGGAGTAGTTCTGGGCTTCTGGGCCGTCGGTCCGTTATGAGCGTCCGAAATTTATCTTACCTGGTGAACGAACAAGTTACGTGTATTTTACAATAGGACCCCTATAGTTCATCCTATTTGTATTTTGAAATAGAGGACTCAAAAGAGAAAGTTTCTTCCAAGTCCCGTGCCGAAATCGCATCGGAAACAATCCACCCCATGCCTACGGGAGGGAGGCAGGCTAGCGTCGCGTGTTTGATTGGTGGGATTGCATAGTCGCGGATTGGGCGGGACCGCGGGAGTTTCCGATCAAGGCTGAGGAGATAGGCGGTAGAAACCTCGAAGGTGAATCTCTCTGTCTATATGTGTTATCCAATCCACATTTGTTTTGATCAGATCTAGATGTTGAGAAACAGTAGCGAGGCTCCTGTTCTTTTTTTGCCGGGTCAGCCAAAGGTTGGCCGACCAATTTCATTAAGAAAGGAGGAAATAAAGTTAAAACAACTTAGTTACAACGACAACAAATTGTCGCGCTAGAACGAGCGAAGCACGCCCAGCAGAAACAGCAAAACAAAGGAAAGGAGCAAACGCTCAAAACTTCCGGCTGATTACTCACTAATGAGGGAAAAGATCCCGGCTGCTTTCCAAACTTCAATTTCCTCCCTGATGTCCTGCACAAGCTGCTGTGCTGTTCTGGACACATTTTGGAAAATCCTTGCGTTCCTCTCCTTCCACACAATCCAACAAATCAGCATGAACAAGCAATCAAAATCGCTCCTGTAGCTCAACCGACAGCGTGATCTGACCGTCAGCCACCAATCTGACAGTGGCGTCGCCATCTCCGCTGGCAGGGGGAAATCCACACCAAGCCACCCCCTGATTCGCCGCCATACCTCCGTCGTGAAAGCACAATCCACCAGTAAATGATGGCCGTCCTCGCTGTTTTGTCGACATAACTGACAAAGATCCTCGTGAGGCCAGTTTCGCTTGGCGAGATTATCCGCTGTCAAGCATTTACCTTTGAGTGCCAACCACATGAAGAAACGGACTCTCGACGGAGTCCTAGATTGCCACAGCAGTTCACCAAAAGGACAGTCCTCCTTGGCTAAAAAGAAAAGATTGTATGCTGAAGAGGCTGAATAAAGACCATCAGCAGCCATCTTCCATCGAATGGAGTCAGCACTGTTGTCCAGAGTTACCTCCCGCATTTCATCCCAAAGCTGAAAGAACTCCCCAAGGGCTTCAGTCGACAAGGAGCCTAGAAGATCCCTCGTCCATCTATGGTCGACCAATGCTTGACATAAGTGAAAAGGGTCGGCCATCTCCAAGCAAAGCAACCTTTCCCAGACCAATCTACAGTCCAAAACCGTGTATCTTGACCATTCCCTGGAATGAAACCTGCCACCGAATTGAAGATAGCATCCACGTCACTCCCCGGAAGGAAACCGGCCGAAGCCCAGGGCCTGTCCTTCTGCTCCAGCTGCCTCGCGCGCCATCTAAGCCGCAAGGCCTGGCCAAAAAGGTCCAAGTCTTTCACCCCCAACCCTCCTTTATTAATTGGCAAGCAAATTTTTCTCCAAGAGACCAGGCAGTGACCTCCACTGACTTCTTCTTGTCCTTTCCATAAGAAACCTCGGCACTTGCGCTCAATGTCTTTTATTGCCCATCGTGGGAGTTGTAGCACAGACAGAAAGTGCACTGGCAGCGCCATAAGTACCGATTTGATCAAGCACAACCTTCCATCAATGGATAACATCTTCGGTTTCCACCCCGCGACCTTTTTGGCAAGCTTGTCGAGGATAGGCTGCAGCTCAGCCTTCGTGGGTTTCCTGGTACCAAGGGGTAGACCGAGATAGGTAATCGGGAAGTTCTCCACTCGACATGAGAGCGTCTCTTCAATCAAGCTCAGCTGATCGGCAGAGCAGTGGATCGGTGTGTTCGCACTCTTGGAGAAATTGGTCTTGAGGCCTGTTGCATCACCGAATAGGCCCAAGATTGCCTTGATCACTAGAGCCTCTCTGGCCGTAGGCCGAAAAAACAACACGGCATCGTCAGCATAGACTGAGATAGAAGGTAAATTCTGTCTTGCTGAGAGGGGGAAAGAAGATGCATGGTTCTTGCTTGATCCACCAAAGCTTGAAGGGAATCCATTACCAGTACAAATAGCAACGGCGATAATGGATCGCCTTGCCTCAGCCCCCGAGCCGGTTTGAAGGGGTTCGATGCTACTCCGTTGATCAGGATGCTCGTCTTCTCTGTAACGAAGATCATAGAAAGCCACCGCCTCCAGCTCGGCCCAAAACCCCGAAATTTCAACATGGACAGTAGGAAGCACCAAGATACCGTGTCGAAGGCCTTGGAAATGTCGAGCTTCAAGAGAATCATCTCCTCCTTCCGTTTGTGAAACTGTTGCACTAAACCCTTGACAAAGACATAATTCTCATGTATACTTCTACCCTTAATGAATGCAGTTTGCGAGAAGGGAACCAATTCATCCAGTCTTGGGGCCAGCCTCCTAGCCATGACTTTTGTTGCTAGCTTGCTGAAGCTGTGCACAAGGCTTATCGGCCGATAGTCCTTTAGGAGAGTTGGGGCTTCTTTCTTTGGCAAAAGAGTAATCACAGCCGAATTGAGCAAATCTAAGTTTTGGCTACTACCTGAGCAGAATTTGTCAAGTGCTTGCATCAGCTCTGGTTTGATCACGTCCCAGCAAGTCTGGTAGAAAAGCCCCGTAAAACCATCCGGCCCAGGAGATTTCTCATTCGGCATACTCCGGATAGCTGCCCAAACCTCATCTTCAGTGAAAGGATTGTCTAGCTCAATCATATCTCCTCTCCTCAACTGAGTATGCTGAAAAAGAATCTCCCTTTTGTCACTCTCCCCTGAGCTCATCACCATCTCGAAGTATTCTCGGGCCAAAGCTTGCATATCTTGTTGAGATGTGGCGCATCTCCCATCGTGTTCCAAGATTGGGATCAACAACTTCCTTCTTCTAGCTTTAATCTTCATGTGGAAGAAGGCAGTGCCTGCATCCCCTTCCCTCAAGTTTCTTACCCGAGCCCTTTGTCTCAGCCGAATTCTTTCCAATGATGCCAACTCCAAACATCTCCCCTTGCAGCCAGCCCCTAAGGCGGCGCTCCAAGTCCGATAGCAAGCGAGATTCCTGCGCCACATCCAGACGCAAAATCACTTCGTTCGCAATTTGGATTTGAAGCCTGAACTTACTGATTCTTCTTTGCCCCCACTTGGTGAGTTTCTTGCACAGCCGCGCCAACTTGACATGCAAAATCGAGTAAGGGTCATCAGACTGAACTTCCTGCTGCCAGCTCTCCATGACCGCTTCTAAGAAACCATCCAACTTCGTCCAGTAGGATTCAAACCTGAATCGTCTGGTTCTTTCCCCTGCAACACCGCAACTAAGTAGCAATGGGCAATGATCTGAGTTGGAGGAACTCAAAGCCTGAAGATGCGCTTCCGGAAAGCACTCTTCCCACTGGGTTAGACGAGCAATCTGTCCAATTTAACCAGCGTCGGCTGCTGCTGCTCATTACTCCATGTGTATCGCCTCCCGAAAAGATACATGTCCCTCAATTCGAGCTCGTTCAGCTTGTTCCTGAAGGCATTCATCAACCTTCTGTTAATTCTGCTATTGCTCTTGTCCATCGCAGCCGCAATGAGGTTAAAATCACCAGTGATCATCCATTCTCCCTGACAACTGTTCCTCACCATCGACAATTCCTCCAGAAACAGCAGCTTGTCTGCATCCCCTTGTGGTCCATAGACTGACGTTAGGAACCAGGAACGCTCGCCCAGGATCCAACGAAGTTGCACCGTGATTGACCACTGTCCTATATGCACTACATTCCCCTGGAAAGCCGCCCCCTTCCATGCTATAATTACCCCCCCGCGAGTCTGCTCCGCCGGCAACGCAGCGAAGCCATCAAAATCTAAGCCACAGGAGTCAAACACCACCGCCGAATCCACCACCTCAAGCTTAGATTCTTGGAAACATACAACCGACACCCCACTCGACATCACAGACTCCCGCACAAGGGCTCTCTTGTCAGCATTATTGAGGCCCCTTACATTCCACCCAAGTAAACTAAAAGAAAGAGAGGAGGTTGACATGGAAACAGATAGAACACCAGCCCACACCGCCTACTTCGACCCCGACGTCAGACGTATTCCCTCAAGCCGGAGACGCCGCCGCCATGAACCAGACGGAGGACAGAACCAGGCTCCTGTTCTGTCCTCCATGCTGGAAAAATTTTGCCTGAATCAGTCGTAAGCATGTGGATTGGTACATGGTTTATGCTTTTGGTTACCATCTTAATTATGCATTGCATTCCTGTATGCAGCATGAATATATACATAAGCCAATCTAATACCTGGTCCAATTTTACCGGTCTAGCTAGGCTGGTGCTGATTTGACAAAATAGTCCTAGATGAAAGTACTTTCTGAAGAGATTCAGGTATATTTGATGCCTCAATTCAACACCTCATCCCCTCATATTCTAATGTGAGTCTTTGAGCTGTTTATATATATAGGCCTTTTAGGATAACAGATCAACAGTGTAACTCACCAAATTCAGTTGTCTTGCCTTTGACCCTCAGTTTAGTTGGTCACTCGGATTTGCAAGAAAAAAAATATCTTGCATCTCTAGCTGGATATTAACATGACCTCTTGATTCTTGTTGGTGCTGTGTAGATCTGATTTTGAGAGACAGTCGGTATAAGTGGATGCTGATATGGTGAAGCTCATACTTTTTAATGTGGCCCATGTTGCTTAATATCATGTCCCTGTCAAAACCTTCCATGATTTTTAACGGCTCACATTTGATAAACCTGTAATTCTAAAATAAAAGTTGGTCTAGTGTTTTTTTGTTGTTTTTCAGTGGCACTTCGCCCCATAAAGCACATGCTGAAACATAGCAAATTGCTGAAGCTGCCTTCCAGGTCATTTCAGCGGATTTAACTTCAAGGTTAAGATAAGCTGATTGTGTTGTAGACAATGACACATTTCGAATATGCTTGACTTCTTCTGAACTTAGTAGTTTTGTTTGATTTCCCCTGAAATGGCTGCAAACTCTTGTCGGCATGAGGATTCTGAAGAATATTTTATACCCAAATACGGGATGAATACTGATTTCAGGATTCTGAAGAATATTTTATACCCAAATACGGGATGAATACTGATTTCCCTCAACCTAATGCATATTTACAGTATATCAGGTTTCGAACCTTTGCACTCTATGCAATGAAGACTAAGCTTCCACTTCATTAATACAAGTACTTTTGTTATATTCCTCATTGATCCATAATTAATTCTTTTTCGGGAATATGCAAATGCAAGGAGCGCATCTTTATATTAAGAGAAATATCAATGATCCATAATTCCTATACAACTATATCTCTTCCAGAAAAGGAAGAAAACCAGATGCCACTACCCCCTCCTATACACCTAACTGGCTTATTCCCACCAACTTTACGTACAATACTCTGGAAAATTTAATTAATTGCTAAATGTAAGGAAGTGAACAGAATCATACAGTTGGGTTTTTGCCTGACTGACAGATCACCTGCAGTTGCTGTTAGGACTGCACAATAGCATACGCACGCAATCATAGCTTTTTATTCCCCAATAGGACAATAGGATGACCCCAGAGCAACTACTACAGTGACATATGACAATGGTTTTTCTACAGTGTATGGTACAGTTTCCACTGTATCTTCCCCTTCCATTTTTCTTTTTTTTTTTTGGAATACGCAAGGAGCGCATCATTGTATTAAGAAGAAATAAAGTTTACGTACTCCATTTTTCTTTTTTGGGAATACCCATAAGGATTGTGTATCTTTGTATTATGCCCTTCCATTTTGAATCCAGCGATGCTACTATTACTGCCTAGTTTTGCAGTCTGGTAGGGGCTGAACGGAATCTACTTCCTTTTGCCTTGAAAAAAACTAGAAAAGCAAGAAAGATAAAAAAGATGCTCCCAAGAACATTGTAGCTGAAGCAGAGATATATTTAAGCAGCAGATCTGATCCAGGCATCAATGTGCCAAGTTGAGCTGAGGTTCCATGAAAAGAATTAGAGAAGTTTTTTTATATACAAAAAAGAGGTAGAAAAGGAAGGCTCAAATTTCTGTAGGGGCCTATAGTGTCCATCTATCAGTGGTTCATTTTTTGCTCAGAGCATTAATATTGCCCCTCTATCAATGGCTTCCAAGGCTTTTTATGGTTGTCAATTCTGAATTTCTGATTAGTCACTTAAAGAAAGGTGCAGGAAACAGCCTGGATTGCTATGTTGTCACATTCTCATTAAAAACAAAAACAACAACTACTCGTTTATCAGGTATCTACTTTTTCTTATTCTAAAAAAAAACTTTTTCATTTCTTACATGTACCAGTTGTCGTGGTGAAAAGTATGAGATAGCATGATTCTAAAGAGGAGATATTTCATAATGCATGTCTTTGATCTTTTCTTTATTGTAGATATGTTGCAATACTAGTTCAACTATGTCAGACTTTGCAAACAAAAAAATTATTCGCCTACCAGTGAATAGGGATCTTACATGTTGGAATTATGTAACTGTTTTTTTCATATTTTTCAGGATTGTTAATTCGAGCATTACTACAAATCTAGAATGAAGTCTGTTAGATGTTGGCTCTAATGCACTACCATCAAATATATCAAAAAGAACTCGTAATAATCTGAGGTTGGTGAAATTCTACTGAAGTCGGCAATGGTTAGTACTTATTTTTTCTTGTAAAAAAAGGTGCTTGGTACCTTTTTCTTTTCCTGAAGACCTCTTTTAAGACTTTGCTACCAATATGAAATTCGTGCATTTCTGAACTATAACTTGGTTTTGTCTTCTCTCCTTGCATTTGTTCTTTTCATGCCATATTCATTCTACATGTGCAGTAATAACTTTCTAATTTACTTGTGAGGTCTGACTGTTTTCACTAAATCTACCGTACTATTCTGTCGGTATTTACTTGGGTGGTGCTTACTTTACTGAGCTATCTGAAAGGTAACTTTATGGTTTATCAATAAGTAATTATTCTCCTTTTTCTTCTGATGAGCATATCTTCGAGGGCCATCCCAAACCTTTTCAAGATCTGTCCCCCGTTTTATTTTGCTCTGAATCACCATATCTTCACTTTTTTTCCCCAGAGAACTTTCCTCTCATCATCAGAAGGAATCTGTGGTTATCACTCAATTAACATCATCAATTACGTCCTAGTCTTTTTCAGAAAGGTGATTTTTCTGTTCATTAACGCGTACAAGTCAAAACCCTTCAGCCTTATTCTGAGTTTCTGATCACAGTAACTGGTTGCAAGTGTCCACGGAGTAATGAGGAAGACAGGACAATTGTGATGACTGGTAGCTTATGTGGGAAAAATGCTTTCTGAGGACAGCATGGGTTAAGAGTGGACTATAGTCACTAAAGTAAAACATGATTCATAGCTTATGTGATCACATGATTTGGCACCACCAGGAGCCTTAAACTAAGCCTTGTTTTACCAGCACTGTCTTTTTGTAATGGTACTATCCATTTTTGTAAGCCTCTCTTTTATCAAAAAAAAGAAAGAAGTAAAACATGATCATGAAAATGCTTAAGGATTGTCAAAACAACAATCATCATCTAACTTTCAGAAAGGTAAAAGAGATTCATTAGACTGATAACAGGTGATGAAATTTTACTATATACTTTCTTTACTTGGAATACAGCGTGTGACATGAATATATGTGGGGGCAAAAAAAATAATAATAAAAAGACAAAAATCTATACACAAGAAGTAACTAAAGTAGCAAGTTTCCTGAAAGGCAGAAAACTATTGCAGTCTTGCAGAGAGTTCTTGTTGACTGACACGGTGACACCTTAACAAGTCATAATACCACTAGAAGTCCACAGAGCTTCAATCCTTCTATCCACAAGCAAAAGGCTAAAGAATATCGCTTCACGTCCTCATCCTACTGCTCCAATCTTGTTTTTTTAAAAAAATCGGAAAGCAACACCGGCCACTTCCTACCGATCAAGAATCTCCATCCTCTTGCCACATCAGGGTCATCTCCTATCCGGCCTTTTTTTTTTGACTGAAATATCCGGCCAATTTAATCTTTAGCTAGCTAGTGTAGCACAAGCAAAGCCATTACTGCCACTGCTAATGTGGCTTGCAGCAACAACGACGTCGACGCCGGCGCCGCGCCGTCGACCTCGCCGGTGGCCAAGCTCGCCAGCCATGAGTCGTCCTCCAGCTGCGGATCCTTCGGCCTCGGCGACGGGTCATTGCTCGATTTCTGACTGCAGAGATAGAATGACACATGATATATATGTTGATGAACAAAAAGATTATTAAAAATGTCATCAATCAGGAATTCAAGATGCAACCTACAGAAGAAGAATCAAGGATGTTTAGTTAATGTATGAGAGATTAGACCGTCATAAGACAAGTTAATTTTACCCTGATAACCGTGTCGCGATAGTATGTGAGAGATTCCAGGCTTGTTTTTTTTTCCCTTGATTTTTTGGTGATTTTTTGTCCAGTTAGGCATGGGAAGCTTTAAGCTGGACAGCCACTAGCAATGGCGGGTGACTGATGACCATACAAGGTGGGGAAGGAACAAAGGCGAAGGCGGCAAAAGAAGAGAGGAGAACAATTTAAAGCTAGCTAGCAGAGCTCTCTCTCTTTTCTCTCTCACAGCTTATCCTTGTCTCTCTCTCAACCCCCTCACTCCTTTCTCCATCTCAGTTTGATGCTCCTTTTGTCGAAAATGCATTTTCTAAGTAATCTGGAAGATGCCCATATTCTCCAGCCATTATGTCCGTCCATGTTTCAGCTCTGGGCCACCGCCACAGCTACCCTCACTTGATAGAGGGAAGAGCCCTAAACTTGACATTTTTTTCTCCATATTATGATGTATCTTGCGACTGTTCAACCACCACAGGACAAATAACCTATGAAAATAAGCCTACTAAAGTGTATGCTAGGCTTAACTTGCCTAATTAAGGAGGTACCAAATTTTTACGCTACAAAAATCTCCTATGTGAGTCCATACCTTTGACCAATTGAGCTTGATAAGCTGCTGAAGCCAAGGCTGCCATCGGTTGGTTTAATGTTGATATAAACCGTACGATTTATGAGTAATATACAAAAGTAAACATTTTATATGTATCCTTAAATAATTTAAAACTTAATATTTAAAAATAAACTCCGATGAAAAAACAACAAAACCAACTCTAAAACTAAATTTTAAAATTTAAATTTTAGCTGTGGTCTATAACAAAACATAGGAGCCCAAAATTCAACAGTGTTAATAGATATTTCTTCCGTCCCAGAAAAACTTAACCTGACACATCCTAATACGATAAATCTAGATATACTCTATGTCCAGATTCATAGAGTATATCGTAGGTTGAGTTTTTTTTTGGGACATAGGCAGAGCACGACAATGCACACGCAAAGTAAAGCGAAGAGGTAAAAATTGTAAAAAAAAAAAAAGAGTTGGCCAACCTGTTGGGATTGCCGGGTCGAGGACAGAAGGTGATGGAGTAGTCGGTGCCGGTGCAGGTGAAGGTCGACGTGGCGTCGTCGTAGGCGTAGCTGTACGACCTAGGGCACGCCCTCTTGAACATCTGCGAGTACACCGACGGGTGACACGTGTCCGGATTGCCGTGGTCGCCGCTGCAGCAGTACTCCGGCGTGCCGAACGCCTCGCACGCGCTCCGGCAAGCCTGGCCATGGCCGGCCTTCAGCTCGGCGGGGCACCGCTGGTTGAGGTCCACGACGCACCCGGTCGCCGGGCACCCCGCCGCCGCCGCCTCCACCACCATGGGCAGGTTGTACCCGTCCACCAGGCTCACGTCGTAGTAGTCCTTCCCGCCGCCGCCGCCGCTGCCCAGCGTGAACTCCACCAGCGTCGCCGGCGGCGTCGCCCCCGCGCCGCGGCACTCCACCTCGCCGGAGCCGCAGTCCCCCGTCGCGCAAGTGCCCTTGCCGTCGTCGTCGAACGTGCACCCCGTCCGCGCCCAGAACCTCCCCGACCACCCCGCCGGCGCCGCCAGCGACCGCGTCTCGCCGGCGCCCAGCGCGAACCCCGTCGTCCCCAGCGCCGAGCTCCCCGAGTTCGACAGCACCCCCGGCCACACCGTGCCGCCGCACCTGTTCGTGAACGTGAACGTCACGCCGCCCACCATTACCAACCCTGCACACACACCAAATCCACCATGATCAACTTACAAACAGAACAAACCCAAGAACCAAGAATTCAATTCACCATTGCCAATCTCAATACCTTGAAAGAATGATAGGATGACGAAGAACACACTCATGATCCAAGTAGATCGAGTGATGATCCAAGAAGCCATTTGAGCAGCAATAAATTGTAAACTGAAACCCAATTCAAATGTGCGTTACTGTTATATGTATATATATGCTGGATATGCAGGAAAGTGATCAGTTATGGCAAGAGTGACCGGTATGTTCTTGAAATTGGCAGTCAGCTAACCCTAAATGGCAAGACGGTGGTTAGAAGCTTGGAGGAAGTTAGATGCAAGTAAACTAGTAATAGTGGCCACTACAGCTTGAGTGTGCAGAGTGGAAGCAAGCCGAGTGTAGGCTTGTTTGCTTACACACCTAGCCTATTTATACAGCTAGCAGTGACGTCAGCAATGATATGCAAAATGATGATACCAAGAATTACTACTTCCCCTCTCGTTTCACTTATTCCATTGCCTTTTGTTTTCTTTGCCTTTTCCCTTTTATTTTTCTCTCTCGAAAGAAAAACAAAAAGGAAGAAACAGAGTACTTGGGATAAAAATGCCCCAAATGCTTTCTTGGAAAGGAATGGAAGAGGCAGCAGAGCATATGGAGGTAGAAGACGACCGCTGCCATTCACGAATGATGTCTTGCTGGTGTGTGTGGGGGGGCCTTCGTTGGTTGGTCCTTGGCCCATCCGATGATCTGATCGATCGATCCTTCGTTTTCTCGGCGCATTAGCCGCTGCGAAAACTTTGGTGATCACTCGCCATCATCGATCGATTCTTTGGCTCGTTGCTGCACAATGCTTCTGCTGCGTTTTGGGCGTGGCGGTCGCTCGCTTTTGTCGTGTTTTTTTTGCCTCTGTTTTGTGCCAGTGTTGGTGTGTGGGATTCGTCGGTTTGCACGCGATGTCGAGGTAGGTCCATGGCGAATGTGGCCAGGCAAGATCGTTGGAGGAACGAGCCGACCGATGTCCAGCTTCCGTTTCTGCTGCTGCTGCTGCTGCTGCTGCTGCTGACGATGATGATGAAGACGAGGGGAAACGACAGTTATTGCATGGTGCTCAGCTGAGAGCAGGGTTCAAGATCACGTTACCGGATCGAAAACCGCTCATGAACGGTATCTCCATTTTTCACGAAAACTGTTGGTAAACCAGCAAAAAAAATCAGACAAATTTGGTTTAAAAAAGTTAAAATTTAGTTTGAATATTTTTAATTTTGAGCCGGCTTGGAAGTCCGGTTTTCACGAAAACTAGAATGTTGAACGTTAAGATTGCTTCTTGCTGCTGTATGCTGGACTTTGTGGATTACCAGAAACACTATGGTGTTTAGAGATAAATTGATCTACTCCCCCCTAATGCTTCCTTTCCAAACTACTTTCTTATTATAGTGGAGGCCTCGATCTGATCCAAGGTGTGGAGATTGGTGAGCTGGAGTTGCTGATAGGAAAGATAATGGAGTTCAGTGCTGGGCTTCGCCAGAGTAGAACAGGTGTAGGGTAGCTCTAGATTGATGTGTAGTTTCTTTTGAGGGACTGTGGAAACGTGAAGAGTTGTGTCTTTCTATGTCTCCAGCCGTGGCTATTTTGATGCTTTCGTTTCTGAATGTCTAGTAGTTGGTTTGCTGATGGTGCTGTGTCATTTTGGTCTGTACTCTGCTGGTAAGCTGGAATCCAAGCATAACTCTGATGATTAGCGTTCAATATAAGCTGGGTCCTTGTGACTTTTTCTCTAAAAAACAAAACTAGACTGTTTTTTGTTCTTTTAGTTTGGATATTTCAGAGTTTTTTTTTAAAAAAAATCTGAGATTACACGTTTCATTTTTAAAAATTAAGGGTGGATTGTTATGGCTGCCAGCTGATCCAATCTAATTCAACTAAATAAATAATAAGCCTAGATCAATCCACACATGTCCCTATCTAAAATCGGTTTATCTTCGTGTCAGCACCGAAGAATCAGTTTATTACCACCAACAAAAAAGAACGCAAAAGAAAAGGAATCATTTTCTGCAGAACTAGCTATTCAGAGATGGGGAAAAAAATTACAGGTGATCATATTACTGTCACAAAGGCCAAGCACAGCGGTACGTATCATTTTCAGGACGAGTCGGCGTTGCACTAATCACATCGATGGTGCAGTGCAGTGCTGGATCAATCGTTAGATTAGATAGATTTGCTGCTTTCTGTTTGTACTGGAGGTAGCAGCAGCTGCTAGATACTTTGAACGCCTCTGCAATTAATCCAGGTTGGCCAGCAGCGTTAACGACGACGCAGCAGAGATTGCTCCAGCGATCGAAAGCTACCTGCAGCTTTCCACCGTGTAATGCTAGCTAAGTAACATTAAAGCTCATGCTAAGATATTCAGCAGTGACACTGCACTTACCTTTCATGTGAAAATGATATGTTCCCAACCTGTAATTAGTCGAGTAGTTACATGAAAGCACCAGTTCGGCTCTGTCGGTTACAACCAGCTTCAGTTAACTGAGATCTAACAGTTACCTTATGCAGGGAGAAAAATCTCTTACATATAGTGATATGGATGATAATGTGGGGATTGTCTGATCCGAAGGTCCTCTGCCGGAGTAGTGGTGTTATCGGCACCGAAGAAGAGAGGAGCTCAGTTAGGGATCTTGGCACGGATCTGACAGTGGAGAAATCTTTCTCAATTTTTCAGTCAAATGCCACTTAGCAAATCTGGATAATGTTTCAGTTTTGAGCTAAAATAAGATGTTCTGTGAAACATTGTTAGATTGATGAAATATTTATTGGTTACAGTGGGATTTTCTTTTCCATTATTTTGACTCCAACATGCAACAAGAATAATGTTTTCAGATAGACATGTGCCAGCTAAATAAGTTTAGTTGAATCATACGTAGGTAGCTGGTAGGATCAGGGCATAACCATAATGCTGGTGACTCTACACACCACTTTGATCAAATCCAGAAGACCAGATTAAACTATATGTGCAATGCTCGATCTTTGCATAACCTACGAATGGACATTTTCTTTTTAACAAAGGTAACAATCAATCTTGCAGAGTTTCAGGTATCCATTCCATCCAACTAACTTGACGCCCATTAGTTCCAGTCGTTTACTTACTTTCTCTGATCAATCACTGCACAGCAAATGGCAAACGGGGAGGAGTGTTCGATCGATCAGAACGATTTGATTTTCTTCAGGCAGAAGCAAAAGGAAGAAACAGAACGACGAAGAACAATCGGCGCACAACCTCGGCAGTACACAATGCTGCTGCTGCTGCTGCTGCTGCCGTGTAAAGCGTACAAGATGATCTACACTTATATCGGATAAGAGATCAGGCTAGTTCTTTCTTCTTCTTCTTTTTTCAAAACCTTTTTCGTCTTCATCATCTTCTCTATCGCAAGAAGGAAAAGCAGAGGACGAGGAGAAGACTAGATAGATAGGCGTCAGTGCGTCACCTTCCACTGTTCTCGTACGACATTGGCATTGCCAAAGCCCAGCCATGGGGGAGTCCACCTGCTAGTAGCTCCCAAATTTGCATTCGTTTCTTTCTTTAATTCTCCTCTCTGTCTGTCTGTCTGTCTGTTGTCTCTGAAGAGATCATATGATCAAATCCTTTGCTTGGCAAGGAGGAGAAATGGGGCATTGGTTGATGGCAGATTTGACGACCTCCAAACAGTCAAACAGTCATCTGCTGTTGCTTTGACGGATGATACGAATCAATCCCTGTGTTCTTGGATGCATATGCATGGCATATGGCACAGGAGAGAAGGGATTAAAGGCTAGCCCTTACACTGTTTCGCTGCTTTTGTGTGCTTGCTTTTTCTGAATGTTTTTTTCTTGCCAGCCTTGCCACTGTTTCGCTTGACCTTGCACAGTTGCACGTAGCTGAAGTCAATGGGCAATGTTGGCCAAGTGCCGTTGAGGTGGAGTCCATGCGGCGCCAAGTCATCTCGACTCCGACGTGACTGCCGTTCATCGGTTCATGTGCAAATTTCTCTCTTTTGTACTCTTTCTTAAAAAAAAAACCAACTCTATAGATTTTTTTTACATAAAGGATTATCAAACCTGGCCTCTACAGCTTCGTGAGGTGTACACAGCCAAATAATCAAATTCAGAGAATGTATGTTCAAATTTATTTTTAGAATTAGATTTTTTTAACAAAAGGAATACTTTAAGAGTCAATTTTTTCTAATAGCCGAATGATTTTATGATAACTGTTAAATGTACAAAAGAATGGATGAACTATGACAATTAAAAAATGGATTTGAAATAGTTGTTTAAGAATCGTATATGAAAGTATTTTTTATATATAAGAATTGTATCGCTTAAGGGCCTGTTCAGATTGCCAAAAATTTGGCAAGATAGCGATATTGTTAAAATTTTGGCAGGATTTCTTATGTATTTACTAAATTTGGTAACAAAGTAAACGTAGATATTTTTTTGGCAACTTTACCAAAAAAGTGATATGATTGAAAATGGTATCAAAGTGAATAAGCCCTAAAAGCTGAGAAAGCTTGCTGCTGAATGGAATTCCATTCCTCAGAAAGAACACGCCCGAGAAGGGCACCAAACGACTCAAATGTTAAGCAACTGAGAAAACGGCGGTATACGTGCCCCCGTACGTACACGTACGTATATACATACAACCCTGTGTCATTGCACTAGGTATATTGATGGTGATCTCATCCGGCGACGGCTGCGTCATGTCAATGCCATGTCAAGCAAAGGGAAACGATGAAATTAAAGAAGTCAAGTTGCAATATTGCTAAAGAAAAGGAAGAGTACACTGTACACAGGTGCATTGCATTGCATGGACCGGCTGCTGGAAAAAGATGGGGAAGATTTGGGGCACTCTTTTCGCCGAGATATAAAGCGACCGATCGATTCACGTCTGCCATGTCGGCATTGCACATTGCCTGCCGCTTTGCACGTACGCATATATAAGCCAATTTCATTTCTAGCTGCTGCTGCCGCCGTCGTGGTGGGGCCTACGGGCTCGTCACCATGTTAATTTTAGTTATCTGCACTATATCTCCTTTTACTATTTCCTGCACTTTGACATGGATTTGTGACGGCCGGAGATAATCTTAGTTATTAGTAGATTCTAGGAGTAATCGGCAAAGGCTACGACTACTCGCCAGCTGAGTGCGTTGCGTTCTCTGCCCCTCTCTCTCTCTCTCTCTCTCTCTCTCTCGCACTATCACTGATTCATATTATAAGTCGTTTTGACTTTTTTCTTAGCTATATTTTTTTAAGTTTAATCATTTTTTTTAAATATAACAATATTTTGAACACAAAACAGATGTATTATCAAAATATATTAAATATTAGTTTTAATAAAAGTACTATTGTGTTCTTTACATTGCTAACTTTTCATAAACTTGATTAAAATTTAAAAAATTGAAAAAAAATAAAAGCAACTTATAATATAAAACGGAGGGAGTGCAACTTACTCTTCCTACCTTTTAATCATCTGTCATCAAGCGGTTTTTCCAGTATTTGGTAAAAGTAGCTTTGGTAGTGATAGAAGTGTTCTGTTATCTCGGCAAGGAGGCGGATCAGGCGAAGGTAGATCCCGTCGGCGGCAGAGGCCTAGAAGTCTAAGAGGCAGAGGAGGATTCCGACGTCGGTGGCGGCCCTATGGGCGACGGAGACCTAGGAATCCGGTGGAGCGGAAGCGGATCCTTTTAACTCGCGTCTGGTCGGTTAGTTTTGATTGGACGATGACGGATGAAGGTGGGCTTACCGGCGGAGCGTGGCATCAACTCACTTGAAGCAAGTGGATGAAGATGACACTAGCGGAGTTTTGTAGCAACAACGCACTAGGGACGGCGTCAGCTAGACGACCTCCACTCGTCGAATATGGCCGTTTCAGTAGAGGATGTTAAGAAGTAAGGATGTATTGAGATAGTAGGTTTTTCTTTTTTTTTTCTTTTTTTTTGTGTGTTCTCCTCTTCAATGTGGTGTGAGCCTAAGTGCTCTTGTATCATTTGGCTGTGTATATCCCTTGTGGATATAGAGACCGGGTTAATAAAAATCCATTATCAGAAAAGAAAAAAAGAAGTTATCTGTTTCCTGTTATACCATGTTCAAAATGGATAGACTTTGAACTGTTTTATTCATTGTAGGTCCATAAAACTGGCTCTAAAACAGTAAGCACATTGGAACCCATTTACACATGGGCCTTTACAGGGACACCAGCTCAAATTGTCATGGAATAAGTCTGTTATTTCTCCCTCATATCTTGCTCCTGATTGAATCGTACCCTCAACCGCAAAACCGGATATAATGTCTCCTCTATCTTAAAAACCGGTGCAAATCGACTCCTTCGATGATTTGGAAAGCGGTTTCTACCGACGTGACAGGTTGACTGTGATTGACTCATTGAGTTAGCAAGTGGAACCCACGTGTCAACGACTTCCACCTCATCTCATCTTCTGCCATGCCGTCGCAGCCGTGGATGGCCACCACGGGATGGGGGAGGCAAAATAGACTTAAGCCTATTGTCATACATTTGAGCCAAGTATCTTGATATCCTGTACTCCTGTTGTACTACCAGACTACTGCACCAGAGGGAAAGGATCAAAGGAATCAGCATCTGCAGTCTGCACTGCAATGAAGTAATGCAGCGATGCATGCTGAAGTTGATCAGTTCATCAGATGGACCATGCCATGCACCAGAGTGGTCCAAACTCTGCCTGCCCAACCTTTTCAGTTTTCACCATGCATTCAGATTATTCAGAGTCAGCCATGCGACTATAGTACTACAGTAGTACGTGCCCACAACTGCTGCCGCTATAAAATCACAACGAGACCGGAAAGACCCTGACGTTGCAACTGTACCAACAACTGGCACTGCTCGAGACAAGCAGTAACCAACAAGATCCATCGTGAAAGGATTCAGAGTTTCAGACATCGAGCCCAGATAATCAGAACAGATGATAGTTTGATTCAGAATTCGTGAAGACCATGGATTTGATTCAGCAGCATTCAGGATTTAGATTTCTGAAGAGTGAAGTGAAGACCATGCCTGACGTGTACGTACAAAATAAGGAAACGCTCATGTGATCGACTCACCGACCCATCTGCATACACTCGTTGTCCCATGCCCTAACCCACCTGCTTCTGTTCTGCAATTCTCTAATCTCAAAAAAAAAAATGTTTGGTTGCCGCCCTGCTTTTTTTAATGAACTTGATAGTGCAGTAATAAGGGGTGTGTGGTTTTAACCCCAAGGTTTCGTATTTAATCCTCAACACCCTCATAATTTCTTTTAAAAAAAATGTTCGCAGGACGTCTCTTCCTTCAAATTTAGGGAAAAAATGTCACAGGTTTGGTTGCTGCAATGTGGATACTACGGGTGTGTTTAGTTCGCGAAAATAAATTTTTTGGGTGTCACATCATATGTTTGACCGGATATTGGAAGGGGTTTTAGACACCAATGAAAAAACTAATTTCATAACTCGCCTGGAAACCGCAAGATGAATTTATTAAAGCCTAATTAATCCGTCATTAGCACATGTGAGTTACTGTAGCACTTTATGGCTAATCATGGACTAATTAAACTTAAAAGATTCGTCTCGCGATTTTCAAACAAATTGTGCAATTAATTTTTTTATCTATATTTAATGCTCCATGCATGTGTCAAATTAAGATTCGATGTGAACTTTTTGGAAAAAAAAAGTTAGGAACTTGACCTAGGCTGTGTTGGAAGTTTGGTTGAAATTGGAACGATGTGACGAAAAAGTTTGAAGTTTGTGTGTGTAGGAAAGTTTTGATGTGATAGAAAAGTTAGAAGTTGAAAAAAAAATTGGAAATTAACTTTTTTTTGTGACAGGAGACCAATTAATTACTTCATCTTCCCAATTAATCAACCAAGTTTTTGTACTAGATGCGGCTGCCATTCACCGATCCATGGTGATTGATAATCTATACAATTCGCGAATCGCAATACGGCCCGAGGTCAAAATGTCGGGCCGGCCGGCACATGGCGCCATGGCGGATCAGCACGGCTGGCCGGCACGAGGTGTGCTCCGGCGGATGACGGCGGCGGCGGCGATCTCTACCACGGCAGCCAGTGGCGGCCGCGGGCGGTGCAGAGCCACGCGAGCACGGCGGCGGCCGCTTGGCCGGCGACGGGGAGGGGACTGGGCGCCGTCAGCGAGGCGCTGCTCGACGCGTCGTAGTAGCCGCCGTTGCCGCCGCCGCCGCGGTTGAGGAAGGAGACCGTGTCGTTGATGAGAGGCAGCCCCGTCCCCGACGCCGACGGATTCGTGGCGCCGCCGCCCACCGACGACTTGAGGCTGGATATCATACCAGAGTTAGCTTTCTAACGCAGGGTTGGTTGATCACTCATTAGGTTTTTATCACGAACACGGAAAAATATTACACACCAATATATTAGAAGAAAGTAATAAACACAAAGTAATCGACAATCGGCCAGAAGACCGTTGCTGAGGGCAAGAACAAAAAGGAGGCTAATTGCACGGCTATGGCTTATACGTGTATGACTTTCTATGGCGAGCATATTCAACGAGGCAAATTATCTACTCTCTCCGTTTTATAATACAAGTCGTTTCATTTATCAAGTTTATAAAATAAATATAGTAACATTTAACGAAACTAATTAGATATTGTAGATTTTACTAGCTTTTTTAAAAATTTTGATCAAACCTAAAGTTTTTTATTATTTTCTAATTAAATCAACTTATTATAATATATAAAAAAGGAGAAAGTAGTTGCTTGTAACTTAATCAGTCGGCACAAGACGTTAATAAAGCCTGCAATTAATCATCTTCAACGTAGTCACGTACATTGGATCATGCATGATCATTGACCAACCATCCAACCCACGTTCTTGTCAAATGATTTGATGGTTGGCAGTGGCACATGATACTGCATTTGATCAGGCTCACTGAAATCTGAATCGACGATTCATCTGTTCGGCTTAATTACCTGGAGATGATAGGGCAGAAGACGACGAGGTAACTGGCGGTGCCGGAGGCGCAGGTGAATGTGGACGTGGCGTCGTCGTAGGCGTAGCTGTAGGCGCGCGGGCACGCGTTCTTGAAGAACTGCGAGTACGCCGACGGCCGGCACGTCGCCGGCGTGCCGAACGCGCCGTTGCAGCAGTACTCCGGCGTGCCGAACGCCTCGCACGCGCTCCTGCAGGCGATGCCGGCGCCGTCGGCGCCGGCGACCTTCAGGTCGGCGGGGCACGGCCCGTTCAGGTCGACGAGGCACCCCGTCGCGCCGCACGCCGCGCCGCCGCCCTGGGGAACCACCACCATCGGCAGGTTGGAGCCGTCCACGAGGCTGACGTCGTAGAAGTCGTTCCCGCCGGCGCCGTCGAGGGTGAACTCCGCCAGCGTCGCGGGCGGCGCCGCGCCGCCGCCGCCGCACTCCACGGCGCCCGACCCGCAGTCGCCCGTGGCGCACGCGAACCTGCCGGACCCGCCCGGGTCGGCGCCGCAGAGCGTCCGCCCCCAGACGCGGCCCGACCACGCCGCCGGCGCGTCCACGGCGAGCGACTCCCCCGGCGCCAGCGCGAACCCCGTCGTGGCCAGCGGCGGCGACCCGGCGCTCGACAGGAGCCCCGGCCACACCGTGTACGCGCACGAGTTTGTCAGCGTGAACGTCGTGCACAATGCCCCTGCAACAACAGCAACAACAGCAGCAGCAACAATCTCATCAGAACACAGCTACTACCACATTGCACAGCTGATCACCAATGCAAGTACGTACTTGAGAGTGAGATGAGTAGGAGAGTGACGGGGAGGAGACGGCGAGCCGTCGCCATTGCCGGTTGCAGCAAGCTAGCAGCAAGATGGATCAAAAAAAGGAAAAAACGAAACGAGTGTATGTTTCTTGATGGATTCTTGTGGAGTTTTCGTGGTAGCGATGCGATTGCGCGTAATCAAGCACCGGGGTTTATAAGTTATAAGAGACTGAGAGCGCTTGCTTGGAGCCTCGTGATGGCCGGTGCTGTGCGCCTGTCCGCAGGTCAACATGTTATGCTGGCTCAACGTTCGAGTTTGCAAAGAGGAGCGGCCAATCAGAGGCTGACACGTGGTGAAACCGCGAGATTTAACCCTGGTATGAAGCGACAGCTGAAAAGACTTTTCGTGTACGAGAATGCTACCTAGCGATCGATCGCTAGGGATCGCTAGGAGCGATCAGATTTCTGATTCCCTCCCTTCACCTGATTTTCTTTTTTGGCACCACATTATTTTTCTATTTTAGTAAATTTATACACCTAAAGTTTGTACACCTCAAGTTTACACATCTCCACAAATTTTTTTTAAAAAAACAAAAAGTTAGAAAAATTTATGTATAGAAATACTATATATAAAAAAATTGAATTCAAATTCAAATTCAAATTTGAATCGGGTATGTAAACTTTTAACTTATAAACTTTGGGTCTTTAGATGTATAGAAATACTATATATAGAAAATATTTGAATTCAAATTCAAATTTGAATCGGATATAATTCAAATTCAAATTTAAAACGGGTCTATAAACTTTAGATGTATAAACTTTAGATGCATAAAAATACTATATATATAAAATATTTGAATTCAAATTCAAATTTGAAACGGGTATGTAAACTTTTGACTTATAAACTTTGGGTCTATAAACAACTTTAGGTGTATAAACTTTAGATGTATAGAAATACTATATATAAAAAATATTTGAATTCAAATTCAAATTTGAATCGGATATATAAACTTTTGACTAATAAACTTTTAGTCTCTAAATTTAATTGTGTAAACATGAGGTGTATAAACTTTAGGTGTATAAATTTACTAAAATAGGAAAGTAATACGGTGCCAAAAAAGGAAACCTGGTGGAGGGAGGGAGGGGGGAGGTGGGGAGCGAATCTGATCGCTACCCCATCCCCACGGCGATCGATCGCCCATTATGGGTCCCCTTTCGTGTAGCAACACTCGGCTAATTACCAATTGGCAGTGGTATTAACATGTTTACTTCACGCTAGAGCATCACTTGATCATCTTTAGTAGTACTAACTAATCTTTACAGTAGCTTGAAGCAAAAATGTTGAGTTGAATCCCAGAAAAATTGCGAATCTAGAGGAGGCGAGGTGAGCGTCTGTTGTGCGGAATGCAGAGACATTCGTCATCCTTCCCGGAACGCCAAACCGGGATTCGCGGTGAAGAATCTTAGTGGAGAGAGTGTGATGAGCTCTCCGAGTTGGCTGCCAACTGCCTGCTCATATGCATGCTCTGCTCAAGTCAAATTTGATCCCATCTCTGACACTTCCATCACTACCTGTTTATTTGCTTATTATATGCTCCTCCATCTTACAACTCGATCTGAGAGATGCAGTTATTAGTTATAAAAATTGTGTATTTTTCAGGGTTTTAAATCTCTCGCTATCTCCCGTTATAACTGTTTGAGAAGGGTTCTAACTATTTGCTCTCATATACAATTTAGCCGCTATAGCTCCATTTAGGTAGCTATAGCTGTTTGAGAAGCTAACCGCTAAATGCCTTAACTCGCTATTTAAAACATTGGTATTTTTTGAACTTTCTTAAGACTTTTTTTCTTTTTGCGAGGAAGAACTTCTTAGATTAGTGCTACTATGATATATACGCTTTTCTGTATCTGTACTTATTGTGAAAGAGAGAGAGAGAGAGAGAGAGTAACATCAGTGTTAACAGTCATTTGGACTGGACAATACAAACTACTACATGATCTTCCTGTTCATCTGCCAAATGTGTTTGCCGAATGCTGTTAAACCCTATTTCAAGTTTGTGATCAGCAGCTCAGGTGCTACATTACCACTAATGACCTCAAGTACTACTCGTACTTGTATAATCAGCCGGATAAATTTGTCTGGTCGCCTCATGTTCAGACTTCAGATGGGCGGCTGACTGCTCACCTATTCAGAGTTCAGACGGCGGGGCTATGAATATGCCTTAGACAAACGAACCGGTCGTACATGTTTAGTGCTAACAAATACTAGTACTCCAGTACCTAACAGGATATTTTGACAATTGTGAGATTCTACTGATGTACCACATTTTTCTGTAGCGGACGGTATGTCCTCATCGATCAAGTTTGATTATTTTATCAGTGGACTCAACTTCTGAATTTGGCCGGGATGAACAACTCCCAATGTTCAGACTTCAGAGGCCCACCTTATCAGCCCCACAAGTAGAGCCCATGCTGCAGTGCCTGTTCTTCTCACTCAGGCCCGATCCATGTCTCAACAAGAAAGGGAAATGGGCCCTGTTGCACCAACTGGCAACTGACTAAATGGAATAAGTTCCTAAACGGTGTGATTCTTTTTTTTAAAAAAATACATATGAATTTTATAAAACATTGTTTTAAATTTATTTTTAACTTTATAGGAGTAAATTTAATTTATTTGTCATTCAGCCAAGAACGACACTCCGTTTTTGCTTTATTTTAGCTACTGTTTCACCTGACGCCCTCTAAAGATTAAAAACAACCGACAAGTGTAAAAGGATCCATTTACAAAGATAATGTCGACACTTGTTACACAGAGTTTTTTTTTAAAAAAAAGAAATAGCATGATGACCAAACATGGAGGCTTATGATGTGCGATTAGTTGCAGGCACGCCCATCTTTTTGCCTGCCTGCTCCACCGATGTTTATTCGACGCGCTGAACAATCGAATGCAGACAAGATAATCTAGCTACCAGCTTAACACACCAAACCAATCAATTCATCAGCATTTAACTAATCCACGACCACAAAGAGGATGGAATCGTGGCGTTTGATTGTTTCCAACCGCTACAGCCATATGCCCATTTTGCATGCGATGAGTGATGACATTTGAAAAGCGCAGAGAAAAATACCTTTCACCGATGCAGGCTTTGGCAGCGGCTGTGCACAAAGGATGAGACTGAAATTAGAGGATCCAGCCATTCCACCGTCTCCAGATGACAGGTATACTGCAGAATCTGTGAACCATCAGGAGACACCTGCACAATCAGTTTCATGGCTGTCGCTATGCTCGTATAGGAAGGGCCCATCTGCTGTTAATACGAGCAACAGACGGAACCTGACACTGCCCGGTATGAGAAAGGAAGAAATGGCTAAATAGTGTTAGAACAAGATCGAGATCCAAACAGTACCCATGCAACCAATTAGTTTCAGTCTTTCAGAACCTCACATACCTGAACATGGGTCATGCACCGATTCTTGATAGGAAAACTACAAAGATCAGCTGGCAATTGCTGCGACAGTTTGGTCAGGTAATAACTGATGACCTCAATCTCAGGCTACATCCTGTTACACCACATGAAACTGAGTATGTGATTTGTTTGAACTGACGAAATGGGTTGTCTGAAAGGTACTCGTAACAGGACTAGATAGGGGCCTAGCCAAGGTTATGTCCACATCAAAATTATGAAGCAAACTGCAGTTGCGGTGATGTATATGGAGAATTTGGAAAGCACAATTTATTGCACTCACAACCACAAAAAAAGAAAGTAGGTACTTGATCGATACGCATTTCCTAAGTAAAAAAGTGTTCCAGCATACTTATCATGTATAGTAATTTCAAAGAATGGCTACAGAATACAGACGTACAAGTCATAGGAATATGGTCCGCCGCCTCATAGTATATTAGTATATACAGAAAACAATGATGTACTGCTACAGATATGCTGCAAACAAGAATGATATTCTGATGGCAAAGACTATAAGATCGAAACAAGTACCTGGAACACCTTTGCCAGTATAAGGTTAACCTCTGGTGAAGTTGACTAATGAAAAGACTGGAACCTGTAATTGCATCTGAAGCATGAACAAAAAATTGGTGAAGTGTACAGTCATCATTGAGCAGTGAAAACAGTCTAACTGTGAGGTTGCACATGTGCGCGCACACACAAGAGCAAGAACCTTGAAGTAAAGAAAATTTCTCTTATAGATGAGCGAAATGTAATATACACGATACATAGGCCAAAGAGAGTACAAGATGCTAATCTCCCAAAACTATACCTCCAACAAGAGCAACTTAAGTTCTGACCATCAAAGCCTACAAACCCCCAGGACACCTGAAGCAAAATTACCTCTCAGCATGAAAAACCCAACAAAAGGTGTAACTTTAACAACTTTTTTCCTATGTCGGGGATAAAAAAAGGTTTTACCAGAGTATAAATAGAAGCCACCCGATGTATGTACAGTACTTGGTCATTGTAAAGAAGAACAGCTTTATATTCTTCTTTCATGCCTTCCAACAACACAAAGTGATTTAATGGTATCCTTTTGCACCTCTGGATTGGTACAGTTCCAATCTGATCTTGGCCTCTGGCAACAAGCTCTCAATTAGCGGATCTTGCATCATGAACGACTGTTTGGAGGCCCATTCAAGAACCGTAAGGATCTCTGCTTGCGCCAACTCCTCGCTATCTGGGACGTTGTGTGCAATGTAACATACAAGGGCGAGTGCTGCAAGCTGAACCACCTGCTCACTAAAATACACGAGCTGAACAAGGTGCTTCGCACCACCCGCACTGATGATCGCTTTCGAGTGATCAACACGCAGGTAGTTCTCTGTGCATGCAAACTTGGTCAGGGAAAGTGCTGCCTCCCGAGAGACATCAGCTTCCCTCTCATCAAGAAGCTTCACCAATGGCCCAATGATCCGAGTCTCAGTTGCACGGAAGGTTCTGGACAGACAGCCTAATGAGATAATGCAGGGAATAAGGAGATCATCATACTCAGCCTTGTCGACAACACGTAAGAGTTGGTCAACAACAGCACGGGCAGCAGGAGAGGTTGGCTTAAATGCTGACCGTCGCAGGTCAGAATTCTGCTCAGCAACACTGCAGATTTCCATGAGAGCCATGGCAGAATTGTATTGCACATCACCTTCGCCTTTCTCAAGTAGCACCGCGAAGCAGAGCAGAGCCCTTGACTCAGTGATGCTCTTGCAGATAGCTGCATTGCCCTTGGCAAGATGCCACAGCGCCTTCGCGGCATTTGCCTTCATAGATGCCTTTGTCTCAGGGTCCTCAAACTCCCTGCCCCTCGTAGTCGCTCCTGACAACGATACGTTGTGCTGCTTCGATGCGACGACACCGCCATTACTGACCTTACCACTGCTCCCATTAGGCTTTGCAGCCATGGTGGAATGCACCAAACTGTACATCTCGTTCTTGCTCTGCGAAACGTGTCCACCTGGGTGCCTCGTACCGCCATGCTCCCCCGCGTCCATCAAGTCCGGGATCAACGCCCCGCGGGTGCTGTTCTTCTTGTCCATCACCACGGAATGTATGGACATCTTGGACGACGTCACGGCGTACTTGGAGTGCTCCTGCACCGTCTCGAACGCGAGGTGGCCGACGAGCAGCCGGATCACGTTGTGCGACGCGAAGGCGTCCTGGCACTTGGGGTGGTTGGCGGCCAGCTCCGAGACAGCCCAGGCCACCGTGGCCTGCACCTTCATGGGTCCCTCCTTGAGCACCTTGGCGAAGGCGGTGCACGCCCCGGCGTGGACCATCTGCTCGACGCACTCCGGGTCGCGGCCGAGGAGGCCGATGGCGAGCGCGGCGTTCTCCTGGCCCTCGAGCTTGCCCTCCTTGACCAGCCTGAGGAGCGGGGGGACGCCATCCTCCTCGATGATGAGCTTGGAGTACCTGTCATTGTCGCGGGCGAGCGAGACGAGGCTGGCGGCGGCGTCGGCGCGGGCGTCGAGGTTGCCGGTGTAGAGCACGGCGATCTGCTCCCAGATTAGGAAGAGGATGGGCTCGTTCTGGGCGATGGGGGGCAGTCCAATGTGCGCGTCGAAGTCGTCGTCGTCGGAGGCGGAGGAGGAGACGCGGAGGAGCCAGGAGAGGTCGCCGATGGAGTTGTCGAGCTGGTTGGCCATCTTCTTGAACGACCCGGCCGGGATAATGGTGAAGACGCGGCGGACGACGCCGTGGGCGCGGCACTTGTCGACGAGCGCCATGGCCTTGTCGAGCGCCTTCTCGGTGTCGTCGAAGATGCGGCGCGCGGGGCGCTCGTACAGGTCGGCGCGCGCCGCCTGGCGGAGCTGCCCGGCGAGCCGCTCCACCTTGGCCTTGAGCTCCATGCACTCCTGCCGGAACGTGTACGCCTCGTCCGACCACTTGATCACCTGCTCCGCGAGCTGGATCGGCCTCGCCAGGATCTGCTTCAGATCGTCCATCTCTCTCCCTCTCTCTCCCCCCACCTCCCCCCTCGCCGCCGCGCCGCCGCCGACGAAGTCAACTCCGAGCAGCAATGGGGTGGGGGCGGTGGTGGAGTATCCCGCCCGCCCGCCGGCTCGCCGGGAATCCTCTCCCTGCCTCCTCCGCGGGAGGGGAAGAATTGGAGAGGGAAGTTGAAGGTGGAGGTGGAGGTGGTGGTGATGGTGGGGAGGAGTAAATTTGGAATAGGTCCCTGCTTTTTTTTGGAGCGGCGGGTACTACTACTACTTGGGGTTGGGGTGCGCGTCGCGTGAGCTGGTGGGGAGAGCCAGCAGAGCCGAGGACGGCAGCAGCAGCAGCAGCAGCAGGCAAGCAAACCGCCCGCCTCGTCTCGGTGCGTGCGGGCGTTTCGGTCGCTTCCGCGCGCGATATCTGCGGTGTTTTTTGGGCTGGGTGCGGGGGGAGTCAATGGACGGGGTGGGGGGTGGTTGGCACGGACGGAGGCTGTGCAGGCTGGATTGGATAGTTGGAGCGGCGACGTGGGGAGGGGAGGGGGGAGCAACTGCTACGCTGGTTAGGTGCGGCACCACGTGGATGAACTCGTTTTGTATGGAGCCGTGATGTGCGGTGCCGGTGATGTGCGGTTGCTGGTACTCTCTCCTGTTTTATGGGGACGTGTAGGGGCCTTTTGGGGGGGGGGGGGGTCCAGGCACGTTCCTAACAACATTTTCGAAATTGGAATGTTTAATTATAGAGAAAAGAAATGATCAAATGAGGTTGAGACTACGGTAGTGTTGAAATGATTCTTATATTGTGTGTGAAATATAGTCGCATCTATTAAAACGGAAGCAAAAGTTAAATATGTTTCCTTAAAACATCACGCATAATATAATGCGACATTTCATATGTAGAGCGACATTTCATATGTAGAGCAATAAAAAAAAATATGACAATAGTATAATCCTAGGAAGCCATAGCCAGGTAGAAAACTATAGCCACACGACACGTCTATCACCAAAAACCGCGCGCTACTAATAAGATATGAACACGACATCATAAAGGAAAAAGAATCTTCTAAACAGCACCTTCTACAATATCAAGAGTGCTGCCGCGCCTATCGTGGTTTTTACCTAGAGCATTCCATCAAATAGTAGGAAAGATCACTCGAATTATCTATCAGAGGGCAATATCTAGAAAATGAGGCTGCAGCCAAGTGGACACAACGAGGAGAGTGCAGTTGTAACGGAGTAACAGACTTGTTGGTCATCCCAGCACTCCAATTGGCTTCTGATACCTCCTTGTTTGCTCCCAAGCACCCATCAAGGAATGGTGACATAGTGGCGTTTGATACTGTTCCTTAATCACACACAAAAAAAGACTCATTTCTTGGACGTATGGTCATGGACACCACCTAAACTGCCACCATCCCGGATAGCAAGGAATACCAACAAGCTGCACAACTTCAGGGGTAGCAGAGCAACATCGTTGTCATCGCGCCCAATTGCAAGCTTTTCTTCACGGCAAAAGAATGCAAGTGTCGCTTTGCCAGTGTCGTCGTCTCGTGCACCAACCGAACAGAACGAACACGATATGGGAAAAAGAAAGGCCTCAACATGGTGGTACAGCTTGTAGAAAATGATTTTTAGGCTATTGTTCTACACCAAAAATGCTCGCAATTTTTCCCTCACGAAACAAAAGTGCTCGCAATTTTCCTAGTGTTAGATCCTACTGGTGTTAGATCATGTGCTCACGCAGCTGTTGGTTTATAACTTTTTTGACTTCTTGAGAAGAAGAAGAAAAAACAGCTGTTTGATTTGTTCGTGTGGTCCACTTTGGTGTTACAAACTTGCAATTAGTGCGAGAATCAGGCGACTTAACAGCAAACGGATTCTGCGTTTCCAACTAAATTAAACTACTGAAGTAACCCGTTATTTGCTGTCTGGAAGCGAGCTTGAAATGGTCTTCATGCCAAGTTGCCAACCTGGTCAATGCAGCTAAAGAAAAATGGTTACTCACATACTAGTACATTGCTCCCGTTCTTTTCTGTAAGAAGATTAAGATTAAGATTTTCGTAATATATTTTTTAAACTGCTAAACGGTGTGTTTCGTGTGAAAACTTTCTATATGAAAGTTGCTCTAACATAGTAACATATCATATTAATCTGTTTTTCAACTTTGTAATAATTAAAACTCAATCAATCATACTTTGATACCATCTCGTTTTACGTAAAAAACTTAACCTCCATCTCTCATTTTCAGGAGAAAAGAACACCACCATTGTTCGACAGGTAGTAGAATCGCAGAATGGACTTGGTCAGTTGAAGATCTCCTCGCTCACATGCCACTCACCGGCTGACCAAGTAGTGGTAGCCTGTCAGCCACGCACGCGCGCAGCTGATCGATTCCTCTTGACACTGAACCGGCGGCGCCGGTGAAGATGATGGCAGCAGTAGCAAATGTAGCAGGGACAGAAATGCTACCAGGGAATCATCCAATGTTCAGGTACTGTGGGTGTTTGATCCCTGTGAACCGAAGAACAGCTGGGAGAAGAAAGTTCAGGAAATGGAGAAGACGACGAGCGATCATATCAATCTGTGGTCTTGCTTGGTTGTTTGCTGCGGCGGTGGAGAAGACGACATTGCCATAGCAGATGACTGAACTGTGTGTCTGCATAGCTGAACTGCTGAAAAAAAATAAAAGAAATTATCGGCTACAGTTTCTAGATGCTCTCCTCATCTTGTTGGTTATCGGTCGCAACCAAAATTTTTACTTAACTTAAGAGTTAATTTTAGTTTTTTTTTAATATCGTAGTATATTTTCACTCTTGAAATTTAAACCATCAAGGAAATGTAAAAGTTTCAGTTTTGCTTATAAATTATTTTTTCTTCCTTCATTTCTCTATGGCTTCTACTACCTTTGTCCCAATTTAAGTGCAATTATAAGTTTTCGTGTTTAACGTTTGGCCGCCTGTTTTATTTGAAAAAATCATGAAAAAAAATAAAAAAAAGCCACACATGAAGTATTATTCATGTTTTATCATCTAATATAAATAAAAATTAACTAATCATGGAAAAAATTTCAAATAAGATGCAATACAAAACTACACACTTTTTGGGATGGAGGTAGTACTACCTAAAAAGGGAAATGTAAATATCATAGTTTAAAGGGTTAATTGGATCCATGCCATTATAATTTTCACGGTTTTGAAATATGCCATTACTATTCACCTATTTGTAACCATACCATTATAATTTCCCAAGTATTGGAGATATGCCTCTACATACCCTTTCAATGCATTTTCTAATTATTTAGGACCAAAATACCCTTGTCTTCTTCCTTCCTCATCCCTCCTCATCTTCTCAACGAGTCTCTCCTTTTTTTTCGCCGGGCTGGCAAAACTTGCCGGCCAAAGTATATTAAGAAAGAAAGCGAGAATGTATATTATTTCCTAACGCCCCAAGAACAGAACTCCGGGAGCAAAAAAGCAGAGAAAAAGCTACTAAAAATCCCTCCTTAAACAGGGCCGCCCCAACTACAGATCACTCTATTGGAATCAACCCCGCAGCTGTCCAGGTCTCCCATTCATCCATGATGGTCACACATAGATTGACAGGGGAGCTTGCTTTCCCTTCAAACACACGCGCATTGCGCTCTTTCCAAATCAACCAAGTCACCAAAATGACACCCGCATCAAATACCTTTCTCTCTTTCTTAGCAACAATCTTACGAGCATCACACCACTAGGAGGAGAGATCAGCAGACGGCGTTGTTTGAAGGAGACCAAGGCGACCTCTGACAAGGCCCCAAACCTCCTGAGTAAAGGAACAGCTACTAAAGATGTGGTGGCATGACTCGCCGCTGATTGAGCAGAGGTGGCAAATTGGGGCAAGATGCCAGCCCCTGCGTTGAAGGTTGTCGGCAGTAAGGCAAGCGCTCTTCATCGCACAAAACATAAAGAATTTGCATCGTTCCGACGCCCGGGATTTCCAGATGATCTTGCCAAGAGCGCAGCGAGACCGTCCCGTGGACAAAAGTGAATAAGCCGATTTGACGGAGAAAGTTCCCTTAGAGTCTGGACACCACCTCAACTCATCGCGCACCCCATGATCCAGCTGCACTAGTGCTAGAAGATCCCAAAGCGCGAAGAACTCCAGGAGGGCCTGGACAGACAGGCCGCCCCGAACGTCTCCTACCCAAGAATTCTCGTGCAGCCCTTCCGCCACCGATTTTGTCTTGTTGCGAACATAGGAGAAGAGCATAAGGGAACGATTTGCGATTGAGCCCCCTCCCGAGAGCCAGCTATCAGTCTAGAAGGATGTTTGTTCACCATTGCCCAGTTGCACCATGCAGCCAGCCGCAAAGCAGTGCGCCACTTTTTTGTCTATTGGCTACACAAAATTAACCCAGGGCCTCTTAGGCTAGACACGGCAGAGCCATGGCCAGCGAGTTCTCAAGGCGACGCCCATGAGACGCAGGTCCTTAATGCCGAGACCCCCGTTCTCGATTGGTAGACAGAGTTTATCCCAGGCCACCAGGCTGCAGCTGCCCGCTGCGTTTTCATCCCCTTTCCATAGGAAGCCGCGACATTTCTTCTCAATTTCCTTGATTGCCCAAACTGGTAGCTCCAGCACAGACATGAAGTATAACGGCAACACCATCAACACATGCTTGATGATTGCGAGCCGAGCGTCTAGAGCGAGGAGCTTCGGCTTCCAACTAGCCAGACTCTTAGCAAGACGATCCATCATTGGCTGCAGGTCCGCTTTTCCCAGCTTGCGCACTGAAAGAGGAAGTCCAAGATAGACGATGGGGAGCAACCGCACCGGGCACCCCAGCACTTCAGTCACAGCCGCAAGTTGTTCGTCCGAGCAATGTATGGGCGTGATGGAACTTTCGCGAAGTTCGAGACCAAACCAGTTGCATCCCTCATAAACCTGAGCAAAGTGAGAATGGTCGAAGCATCCTGAGTCGAAGGATGGAAGAAAACGATGGCATCATCTGCGTATAGCAAAGCACGCAGAGGAAACACGCCACCAGCAAGAGGCGACAGCGCGCCCCTATTGGCAGCGGTAGCACACAAAGCGGCAAAGGTCTCCATGACCAGCACAAAGAGCAGCGGCGATAAAGGGTCGCCCTGCCTTAAACCTCTCGCCAACCTGATCCTTTGTGTGTCACGCCCATTGATACATACAGTAGTCGACGAGGAGACGAGAAGCACGGCAATACAGTCGTGCCATTTAACTCCAAAACCGAGATGGCGAAGGAGCTCAAGCAGGAATTCCCAGGACACCGTGTCGAACGCCTTTGCAATGTCGAGCTTGAGTAGGATAGCAGGGCATTTCGCACGGTGAAGCCTCTGCACTACCCCCTGGACATAAAGGAAATTCTCCTAGATCCTCCTCATCTTGATA